GACGGTTAGGCAGTGTTTAAACAGACAGTTGGCGATTTTGAGTTGATCTCTTCCCGCGGGACGTGTTTCTCATGACGGTCGTGCGTTCGATGCGCGCCGGTACTTAATCGGCGATAAGCATCCATTTTACTCACTTTCGCCAGAAAACATCGTGACACGTTCGACTTAAAGTGATTAGAACCTCAATCGGGGTCGACGGCCAATCAGAAATGGTCGTAAAAGTTTTTCTCTTATGGATGTGGCAAGATGTCGCCGTGTCATCAGCAAGGAAACAGACTCAGCTCGCTACGAGTATTTATCGAGCGATTAACTGGTCGCTTAGAGGCGCATCAAAAGGCGAGTGTGGCGGATGTAAAACGTTTTTTAAATGGTGCCACTTTATTATGCCCCGGCGATCAGATTTGACAGCGGGCGCCACGTGGAAACTTGAAAACACGCGGCTGCAACGGTCTATCGCCTACGCATCTTCGCATATTAACGAAATCGGATGACGACGATGACTCTGAAGAGTGGACACAGAGTTCATCTAGTTTTTTCACTTCTGCAGGGCCTCAGTCATGAACGGGCGAACGAGCGGGCTACGAGTAAGTTTGTGAACCGGCGTGTACCAGCCGTAAACCAAGTACACCGAGGTAATCGACTTAAATCGAACAAATACATATCGCATGTAGTAGTTTGGAAGCCGCAGATTAGATGGACGTGGTAATAAATAACATAAAGAGCACATGCGCGGCGCTGATGTTTTACATTGAATATGTTACACTTGTTTATTCTGCAGTAAAGTGGCCTGACAACCGCAATGAACGATTCCGATTTAGTCAATGACTGACGGTAGAGCAGTGCATGCGATTCTGCCCAGTGAGGTGCGTGGGAAAGCTTGATTTACTTCGCGAAGCCGGTTGATAAACCTTTGGTCATTAGTTCGCTGGTAATTAGATGAACATTCTAATCACTAGAGCAGGTGCTCAAATACCATACAGCAGTGACTTGCTTGAATGGCCCTCGTAGGCAACTCGGAGCAAGGTGCAGGTGCAGCACGCCTTGAAATCTGGTCTTGAAGGAGTCATTCGTTATTCATCTTCGTCTTTCGCCGACTTATTCGCAGTCCGTCTTATGCACTGCTTTTCCGCTCAAGCTCTTGCAGCATGTCCTGTGAGCAGACTCATAATTCCCACAAACAAAACTACGTCGTCGGCGAACTTTAGTTGACTGAGCAGTTCACCGTTGATGTTAATCCCATCCGTCTGGTTCGTCCTCCGTAATACAGTTTCTAAATAGTTTTAGAGAGAGTGTCCCCTTGCTTCGCTCCCAGCTCTACGGGAATCTGGACAGGGTTGGGATAGGGTTGTAGAATAGCGAGATATGTTTGTGAAACAGATGCAATTCGCATCATTTAGCGGGTTGGCGTGACGAATGTTACGATGCCCTGTTCTACCACTGCAATTCGCACTGCGTTGACTCGACGATGTCGAACGCGTTTTCGTTTTCTTCAGGGCGTATGCGCAGAGGTAGCTGGAATCCGTTCGCGCGCTCGAGGGGCAGTTTAAGTTGAAGATAGTATCGGTTGTTGCCTAGCTCCGGCGAAACCCTGTTTGTTTTCTTGGCTACTGTTCCTCCAATCATGTTGACAGTCTGTTGATGATGATCTTAGGGTGAGCAGGTTGTAAGTTTGTCACAACAGCAATACTGGGCGATGGTTCCTCAGATCTTATTTTTTTCTCTTGTTGAACAGTACTCTTCTCTTGGACTTCTTCCAGCTTGATGGAATCTTTTCGCTTTCCAGGTACCAACTTAACCTCTCCACTGGTTCCTTGACAACGCCTGACCACCTACTTTGTGACCATTTCAGTTGCCCAATCGTCTCCTCTTCCTAGGACTATTCCTTCCTGCATTTTTTGCTGCACCTATGAGGACTGCGAATGCACTTCGCTCTAGCTGTTGGAGCGATGATTGAGCGTTTCGGGACGCGGGTCTTTGACGCACACATTTGACCGACGGTGAATTCACCTGGTGCGAAATGCATCCGGACGGTAGTGAACTTCAAGAAATTGAGGACAGATGGTCATACATGTTGCCATTTTTGCTGACATGTAAGCACACATCTGCGTAGCTTGGTTTATCCGAAAACCTACTACTCTGTGCGAAGTCTGTCGAGGCATGGATATCACAGTAAATATCCTACAAATTGGCCACATGTCTGTAAACTCAGGTTTTCCTTTCATTGGCGTGAGTACCTGGAACTGGAATTCCATTACTCAGTTGAGAAAAGCATGAACAAAATAAAATATCCCAAGCGAGTAAGCGACAGTTCGTATCAAAGGTCAGTCCAAGCTTGGCGGGGTTGTTACAGAACATTTTGCATCATGACTCATCGCGCTTGATACGCAGGGACATAGAAACGATACTGACATATCGTAGCTGACCGAAAAGAAGAAAGAAAAGCATGCTGAGCACTGTACAAGACCTGCAGTTAGCAGTGGTACCTTATATGCTGTAAAGTATCACTAACGGCTTAAAGTATTGTCAAGTTCTGTAAATTATTGCAAATGTAATTACGTGCCTAATTTAAATGACAGCTGCGATGTCGTTATCACTTTGACTGTTATAATCTTATTTGCAGGATAAGCGTCTCACCTCTCCATGTAAGTAAAAGATGACAAGAAGCCGTAAAGTTGTGTGAAGGAGTCTCGAATTTGTCAATCTGTTCAATAAAAAATGAAGACGTTTCAGTCGTTGTGTTAGATTTTTAACGTTGCTAAATAAGCAAGACCTGGTCTGACTCAGTTTTCTTTAATTTTTGCTCGTTTTATTCTTTACCTGAATTTCCCTTGTCAATTTAAAAAACCATCCGGACTTAATTGCATACCGTATGACGATTTTTTGCAATCTTATTTTCATCTCTGCAACAGACTGTCGCTTTTCATAAGTCTTGCTTTTGTTATCGTATATTATAAGGGCGTTGTCGGCGGAGGACCGTTGCGCCATCAGAAGAATGTCCTCTGGCCACAGCGTCGAGGAGCCGGAGGCCGAAATCCTGATGCAATAGCTTCATATTTCTTCTGGTTGGTTATCCTTTTATGCTCTGTTTGCTTGGCGCAATTGAACGTAGAAGCATAAAGCAAGGTAGAGAAGCTACGTTGCTCTAATGGGAGCAGGTGCCAGTTAACTTGTGGCCGACATTGACCGCCGGGTGGTTATGACCACCAGTCAGGATTTTACGTTCCACCGGAGCCTCATTGACCGATAGTTTCGGGGATCACGACAGGCGTTCTCGGCTACCGTAGCGGCTGAAGGGGAACACCCGACGGTGCTTCACGCTTTGAGCAATCCTTTGCTTTGATCATTGTCCTTTTCCTGTGAAAACGAGAGAGGATGGTTTTTACGGTGCAGCAGTTTTGTCAGTCATCGCTTTATCGTCCTCAGCGTATTCACTTAATCGTTTGTTCTCTTGTTATACTGGTGAATGCTTTTACTTCTGCACCTGATGTATGCACTTAATGTGTGTTTTGTGCTGCGCCGTGAAACTGCCGTATTGAACGTCGGTTGTTTTCAGGACCGAACCGTCAACGGTCTGCTCAGCTACTCGCGGAACCCACAGACGAACGTCGTCCCATTAATCTCGTCGCAGAACATGGTCCCTCCACATCCTCCGCAAAGCATGCAAGATATGACTCATTTCGGTCCGAAGCATCCTTCTGTCGCCGCGTTGAGACTCGAAGGTCATGCGTCGTCTCCGGTAATACAGCGAAGCGTTTCTCCGATCGGCAGTTCGTCCGGACCGCCGCCGAACAGTCCTAGCAGTCAGACGAGGCATTCGCCGATATCTCCTACGCCCGTCACGGGTAAATGTCGTTCTTTCGCATG